CCAGACCGGCTACTCCACCCCTGCCTACACTATTATATAGGTCGTAACTGTATACCGACATTCGTATATCTATAATCAGAGCCTTTTGAATCGCGCTGTATGTCTAGCAAAGATTTTCTAGCACATTATCGAGCGTATAATACGTAAGTAGGTACTTATACAATAGGTACGCGTAATTTTTTTTGGCGTTATTTATTTTGTATCCTATAGATGCATCCCATATAGTACACGATACATATCAACGAGTTTGCAGTGTTTTATTTGAACACATGTGCAAACACGTTAACGCGTGCATATTTGAATCGAAAACTGTGGTCGGAAATGTGCATGTTTGCATGTATAATAATATTCGTATTATTTTCACGGGTTTTAAATTCTTAGCTGAGCATGGCACTTTTCCTGAAAGAAAATCTAACAAGGGTAGTAGGGTGGTACTTCAAGGATGTCGTTTTTTGATTTTTCCATGGCGTTTTCATAGTAAATGAAAAAAATCAGATAAAACCATGGGAAAAGCGGGAAAATTTACCAAAAGCAATATTATTTCCAAATCGTAAACATTTATGATTTTTCAAAACATATGTATAACCGAATTCCGCTCAGAATCGTTTTTCATTAACAATGGTTAATTTTTGCGTACATATATTAATGTATATATTAAATTTCCCCTCTACATTCCTAACTTCTCACCAACAACAGTGACCCACCCATCATACGAAGTATATGTCCGTCTTTGTTTCTTTATTATTTTTCATTATTCTGTATGTGTGCATCATGCACAAAAGAAATGAATATGCACAGGCATAATAGAGTAGTATAATAACTGTATTTTATTCGTTAAATTACGCCTTGAAAATAATTCTGAATTTCCGATTCATATCATAATGCACGCAAGTATTTTTGTTATCGATACTTACGTATTAAACGGCAACGAGAGAATTCAGTTACGGTTTTATAGACCAGTGGCGTATTTATGGGAGCAGCACGAGTGGCCCGTGTCTCGCTCCCCATCCATTGCCGTACTTACATATACATTTCAATAACTGATATAAGTATTTGTTATAGTTGGGATGCGTAATTATCCGGTAAGTAATTGTCCGGAACGTGAAAATTCTGGAATCTGAAAGGCTGGTACTTTAATAATCCGCAATGTATATTTCCGGAAAGTAATAACACGGACCGTACAATTCCGATCAATTTTTCTTGTGAACAACTTTTTGATCAACAATTTCGCTCCGATTCATAATGATAGTAATTTTTCTAAAAGAGAATTTGTTTGGGAGGTACTTTAGAGAGGGCATTTTTTGATTTTTCCAGGAGTTTTCCCAAAAAATTAGAAAAACCATGAAATAACGGAAGGAAAATGGTTGAATGTACGAATTGTAAGAATTAGTCGAAAAAATATTACTGCTTTTTAGATTCTGGGTGGAGCGAAGAAGCTTATATTTTTATAAAGATGTTTATTTTTTTTTTATCCGTGAGCAACTTTTGTACCAGAAGACTTGCTCAGATTTTTAAATGTAGTACCTTGTTTGAAAGAAAATCGGTGTGGGGAGGTACTTTAAAGAAGTCATTTTTCGATTTTCTCAGGAGTTTTCTCATCAAATTTGAAAAAATGAAAAAAAAAACGGAGGATAAAGTTTAAGGAATGTAGGTAATAGTTAAAAATATTAGGGTCTTCTTTTTTCTTGTGGACAACTTTTCTACCAGTAATTTTGTTTCAATTTATAATGATAGCAATGTTTCTAAAAGGGAATTTGACTAAAGAAGTACCTTAAAGAGGTCATTTTTTGATTTTCCCAAGAGTTTTCCCAGCAAATTTGAGAAACCAGGATAAGACATGGAAAAACCGGGAAAATGTAGGAAAACTGGGAAAATCTTGAAAAATCTGGTTCCTCTTCATAATAATGAACCAGTTGATTGATTTATCGTCTGAAAAGCACAGAAAATCGAAAAATTTTTCAATTTTTTTGAATCATATATCGATGTCTTGTCAAGGCCTGCTCTATACCCTGTATGAGTTTCAGGTCTTGAAAAAAATAAAAAATCAACCGACGAGAGCCGAACTACCGCTTAAGAAATCTAAACAACGGATTGTCGGATGAGTTCCACTGAAAATGCATACAGCAAAAGTTACAGCTCCCTGTAGTATTATTAGTTTAAAATATCGAAAAAGTTTCCGACTTTTTTGAAACATATATCAATCGCTTTATCTAGACCTCCTTTACACATTGTATGAGTTTTAGATCTTATAAAATACTAAATTTAACCGGTGAGAGCTCAACTAGCGCTTATGATTCAAATAACAGATTATCAAGTGGGTCCTAATGTTAAAGTACGAAAACAGCTTCTCGTAATTTACTTAGATTTCGGAGTATAGTTTTATCTCTTTCTATAGATTCAGAAATCTTCTACAATTTATATATGTGCTTAATAACTCTCTGTTACAACGGGTTTTTATCATTCAAGATCTTCGTATTTACTACTCATCCACTCTCTTCTTTAGTCATCACATTAATGTTATTATGGGTCGTGCTATAAAGGTTTTAGATTTTATTAAGTGTAACAATATAATTTATTCATTTCTTAGTGCACAGTCTATTCTATCTGAACATTTATCCAGTTTTGAGTGAGTTTTTTGAGAAGTGTTTGTTCATCGCAGTTAGTTCACCGCAATTAGGTTCTTAAAAATGCTAAAAATTAGACCTACCAACTTAGGTCGTAGAAATTGCGATTTGAGAAGAATATGTGGTGATGAAATAACAGTGGTGCTAAATGATAATATACTTTTATTTATTGTATGGTTGGTATTAGGTGCAAATTAAAATAATAATAGTAAATTGGTTGCTATTGGTTAATCGGGCAAATTTGTTGGTTTGTTGATTTGTTTTATTTTGATTAAACACAAGACTTGTAAATATGTTTAGCCCCCTCAAAATTTAGACTCTAGTTGCACGTCTATATAGATACCTATTTGTTACATTATTATTATTATAAAATAATCAAAATAGAAACTTAGTTATGTTATATTGTGTTTGAATTATGTTATACCAATTTTGAAATTTCTTTTATCAACAGAAAGCACATTATTTATGAGTGTCATAGGCTATATTACCCCAAAAATAAAACTACTTTCTGTGGTAACAGATATGCACAGTAAGTCCGAGAAAAAAATGGACGAACGAAAACATTGAGAGATATATGATTGAGTTCTAGAGAAAAGCTGTAGAGTTTGATAATGCCTACAAAAGAGACAACCACAGCATATGTCTAACTTATATAAAAAACTTTTTATTTAAGTCACAAAAAGTAATTTTTTGTATTAAAAAAATGCTGCTTCTAAGTAACTAAACTATTATAATTATTATTTATACTATTCAAATTTCATAATAGAACACATTTAGTGGTGACCTATACACTTTCCACCTATTTGTTTTAATTCATTTCATGATATTATTTTTATTTATGTCTATTAAGAGCAAATACCAATAACCACTATAAGTCTTAATTTATCATAGCAGTTTTATAATAATTTAAAAAAAATTTAGAATCATACATTGTAGTGTTAAAATTTGATAATCCATGTTTGAAGGAATAATATTAGAAGTTCCATCCGCATAAATTTCCTGTATGTTGTTAGTGAAGACAGATCTAAAAAATTGAGTGCAGACAACTATTATACTTGTTTTATTATCAGTGTCCTGTACACAGTTTTTAAAAAGGCATAATTACAACACGCGAATCACTCCTATTGTTCATTCTAAAATAGCCCATAAAATTAGTGTAAACTGTGTGTATATATATATACATTCTTTATGTTGAAATACAACAGAATAACATGTCATTATAATATATCATTATTATTACTAATGTATAATTATTAATGAATTGAACTATTATAATTTAATGATGATTATTGTGTTTGCACTCAAAACCCAGAATATTATATAAAAAATTAGTAATATCATTATAATTCTATANCCAGAGTTTCTAATTAAGGTACACAAAAAAACTTATATTTAATTGATATTTTATGATATATTTTACTTATTTTCTCTAGTTATAATTCAGTTATATCAAAAGAAAGAATACTGAAGTTATTGACAAAATGGACATCAATAAAATCACCAAAAAAGAAAACAAGACTCCAACACAGTCAATTGATTATTTTATTTTTAATATACAACGTTTTTTTATTGTTATGTAAAACAAAATGTTATCTAAATTATTATGTTATCTATGTTTTACTTTAAATCAGGTTACTTATCTATAACTAGTAATTTGTCGATATGTCAATAATTTAAAAAAATAAATGTTGGAAAAAAAAAATTTCTTTTTTTTACTTGAAGACTTTTAGAAAACTAATTTATGCATTATGGCTTAATATTTTAATTCATAAAAAGGTTGTTAATTCAAATTATTAAAAAATATATGCATTTCAATCAAAATTGTCTTTTTTATAGACTTCTAAACTTTTAAACTAGTTTTTCAAAAGTTCAAAAAATGTAATTATAAGCTTTTGCTATTGCATCACAGTAGTGTACATTTTTTTTAATTAAATTTTCCTGCGGTTGAATTTTAAAGAAGAATATTTTACAAGCAGATTTCATGATTATAGGAAATAAGTACGATTAGTACAAAAAAACAGAATAATAAGGGCTTCAAAATAATTATTTTTTTATATATATATACATTCTTTATGTTGCAATACAACAGAATAACATGTCATTATAATATATCATTATTATTACTAATGTATAATTATTAATGAATTGAACTATTATAATTTAATGATGATTATTGTGTTTGCACTCAAAACCCAGAATATTATATAAAAAATTAGTAATATCATTGGCCGAAAAGGGTACCAAAAAAAAAAATTAAAAATTGTATTTCCATTGAACTTTATTGTGTTTAATATATAAAATATAATTATAATAGTAATAAATTGAATCTGTTGAATAATGATCAAATATTCACTTATGGAGGCCAACTATAGTTGTTTAGCCTGCCAAAAATCCACCATCAACCACCAGGGATGTACCATTTATCATGGTAGAATAGTCACTGAGCATGAAAATTACAGCATTTGCAATGTCATCAGGCACTGAAAACCACAAAATATAAAATACAATATGAATTTAATTTTTTAAGGCAGTTGAAAGCATTTCACCATTTTATACATTTAGACTGATAAGCTGGTATAAATAATCATTGTTAATTAACTAGTTATTTTTATTAGGTGTACAATAAAATTAAATAATAATTTTCTAAATTTTCAAAATTGGAGACAATTTAAAAAACCATTCAAGTCCTTTATCTGAAAAGTATACAGAGATTTAGGACGGACTGTGTTTGATATCAAGGTTTAGAATAAAAATTAAATGATTTTAATGAGTTTTCTTTTTTCAAACAGCATGCATACTAAATATGAATACTCGTGTACTCGGGTAGATGAAAAATCTAATGTATAACATTGTTTTAAGGTGTTATATATTAAAATAAATACTTAAATCTCTTGCATACATACATTGACAAATTATTTAAGATTGAGACAAATTTAAAATTAAATTAAAATTCTTTTTTATATTCTACTAGTTAAGAACAGATTCAAAACTTCTTTTTTTTAATTAATTAAACAAATTAAACAAATTAAATTGGACATCTTATACTCATTTCAATTAACCTTTGACTGAGGGAAAGAACGTACAAAATTTATAACTACTTACATTTTCATTATTTAGGTATATACGTAATTAATTTAAGTAGGTATGGTCCAAATGACTAATGAGTGATGACTATAAGTTATACTAATTGTATAGATTGTTATTTTTCCGTAAATTAATTGAGTTTTTTAAAGATGTTAAAAGACGGTGAAATATCCTTCAATAAAAAATTTATCACATTTTGAAACATTCATTGTACTCACCAGCGAATCTGCCTAATGGAATTCGTCTCATTATTGGACCAGATTTTTCGGGATCCGACCACGCGATTTGGCCCATACGCGTTAAAACCACTGTTGGGTTCACGTTGTTGGTGCGAATTCCATGTTTACCCAGTTCAATCGCCATGGTTCGGGTAATTTGATTAACAGCCCCTTTCGATGCACAATATGTAGTGTGATCGGGAATTGCTCTCTGGTAAAATAAAACGTTAATCAATATTTACAATTAAACACAAATTTTTATCACAGTTTTTTTCAATAGTTTTAACATTACCCAAGTTATATCAACCTAAATTCTCTACAATATTATAATTAATTTGTAAAATATTTTATTCTAAACATTTGAATGCACTATACTGAATCTAATTTCTCTTTTTTACTGTTTCAATAAACAAAGTCTTGAACCAGTCAAAACAAATATTGTGTGATTTTTTCTTAATTAAAAGTACCAGAGGAACAGTGATTAAATAAGTTAACATTAAATGCTAGAAATCAGATAATAGATTAAAAAATAATTTTTTTTTATAAATAATAATTTTTTTAACACGCACTGTTGATATTGTTGACGAAATATTTACGATTGACCCTTTGATCCCAGCATCAATCATGTTCTTTGCAACCGCTTGGCTTGCTCTAACAATTGCCCGCGAGTTAATATTCAATGTTCTGTGCAAAAAAAAAAAAAAACATTCAATTTTAGTCAAAATATTACGGTTTTCGGATATTTTTGGAATTCGGTTGCTTTTTTTACAAAATAGGCATTGATATAGTTTAGATCAGAGCTATCATTCTGGTATTTACTATAGATTGCTGCAAAATCAACAAATTTTCCGAATTACGAAAACAGCAGTTATTTAGCATAATAAAATAAAAAAATGTTTTAATAGGAAGAATATTATCAGTAAATATCATGTGATAGCATTTTGTGAGTTTATTCATTTCAAATGATTTTTTTTTCCTGTCATTGACTTCTTTAATTTATTGAATGTAAGTACCGATTCAATTTGATAAACTTAATCTACAGTTAGTTTTAATCTTAAATTTGTTGACCGGATATTTAACTGACGATTGATAAAATGGCCCTTAATTTAATAGTTATTTTAAGTGTTAGTTTACTCACAATAAAATATTTGTAGGTATATCTGTTTTTGTGGCATTTTAAAAGTTAAAATTTGTGGAAATCAATTTAAATATAAAAGGAAATTGAAATTTTGACCAAATACCTACATCCTACATATGTGTGTGGGCATACAAAGTAAAAAATAAAAGGTATACAAAAATTGTTAGGTGTTTTATATCTTATTCAGTGACCAAAATAAGTCAGGGCCTATTGGTGACAATGATTTAAATTAAGTGTAATGATAATAAGATATTATTAGAGTGGTTTTTCTTTTTAATCCAAATAGTCATGCAGTAAAGCCTATTGGATACCTTGGAGAATAGATTGATCCTATCAACTATGTGTCCACAAGATACTAAAAAACAAAATATGGTAAATGATTGCATAAGTAGATCATGTAATGACACATTACATTTTATATAGAACCAATTCTCAGAATCTTAAAATATCGTATCTTACTTGTCCCACCCGTGTTGGGAGACGTTGAAAAATTCTTCAATAACTGCAACCCCAGCGTTGTTTAGTGTTTGGTATTGATTTCATATCATTTTCATTCTCAATAATGCGATACACAAATGCACCCAGCCTTAGTAATCGATCTGAAATAATTTCTCCCATGCCTGAAAGAAATACACAAATAAAAACTAGTCGATACATTTAAATCCCAAAAATTAAAAAGAGATTTGAAAACTATAGTCGTTAAATTCTCTAATATAATGTATTATTCTAAATTAATTGAACATGCATTAATCAAAGTATTCTTTTTTCGCTGACTTATCGCTTCTTTTAAAGTTTTCTAAGTTTATCTTTATTCCTACGGAAGAAGTGCTTAAGTCGACTTTAAATAGTTTTAAATATAAGCAAATTTAATTTTAAAAATTGCTAAATGGCCTAACATAAATGCAAGTGTCTAAATGGCTAATGTTATATTATAACTTACGTTTTTTCACCAACCCGAATGTACGACATAGTTACAGTATAACATGTGTTAAAATATACATACCTACTTATGTTATTTAGACCAAAAAGTAAAGGGGATAAAATTACATAAGTCACCATTATATAAAATAAAATAAAACTAAACTCTTCATCTATGGGACCAATGATATTTTATCAGTTTATTTCCGGAATATTTTATATATTATTTTCTAAGACTAACCAGTGCCTGATCCTGTGACGATGATTTTTTTGCCGGGAAAGTAGTCTTCCATTTTTTGAGTTGTAGACGGAGTCGCCATAGCTCTGGATAACATTTTTAATTTGTAAGGTAATTTCTTTACGGCGCAAATCATCATGTTCTTTTATTTATTCAAATAGTTTGCTCTAGAAATTCTTGAATGTAAACAAAATAAACAAAAGAAAACGTAATAAATTAGTTTATTATAATAATATGTATTGGTCTTATTTCTGATCATGAGGTTTATTGTTTTCATATCAAAAATTAATTATTATAAGTAATGGTTTATGAAATAAGAATGTGTTTGTATATGTTCAACACCGAAATGTTCGAATGAGTTTTTGGGATCACGTTTTCTCCTCGTGGAATAATACGTCAGTGGTGCACCTTGGGGGGCGAAGAGGGCATTCGTCCTCCTCCCGTGTGTATTAAAATTTTATGTGACTAAATGTGTGCATTGTTTATTTTGTGTTTTTACAATTATTTTGTATATACCTTTATATACAATATAATTATTCGTTTGTTATCTAGGGTCAAACTTGGTCAAAATAAATGATGTTATTATTTTATTTCAGCAGTTCGACCTTTATTGACCATAAATAATAAAGACACGCGATAATATATAATCTTATATAATAGCTATTACATACATTATCATGTTTGTTATTGGCTAATAAATTTAGGCCTATTTCCCCGTAATCATGCTTATGCTGTAGAAGAAAAACATGGCTACGCTCAAAGATGGGCCATGATCGCTTATGCTGGCTTGCACTGTTGCACATATATTAAGAAATAAGTATACCATTGGATGAAATAATTAAACGATTTTCTTGTATGAAAAACTGGAAAGTGGACTTTGTGCTACAATACAATTCATTATAAAATTATTTTATAACATGCATTATATTATATTAAACAACAAATTCTTTTTTATGTACCTACTGAAATGTTTTATTTGATATTTTACAAACATAAAATTACCGTTAGGTTAGGATAGATTTGCAGTGACATACATTTTTAAGACATTTTTCATCTTAAGAATAAGTGAAAATATATTTTGACCCCCTCCCATAAAAGAGACCTAATTACGCCACTGTAATTTGTTGCTAGGGAAACTATCGTTGCTTAGTTTCCACATATCCATTCAAAACGGGAAACTGTTACAGCTAGGATAGCCTTTTTTTGGTTACACAATTTTATTTTTTTACACCCAGACATTAGACATCTTAATATAAAAATATTAAATAATGCCATCTAAAATTAAATCAAAATGAATGTACATAAATAATATTATGTAAAATGTATGTAAATTTAAGTAAATTTTAAATACATTGTGCCAATATTGATTTTTCGAGTTGTTTTTTGAAATCATTGAATTTATATGAAATTATGAAAACTAAAAAACGGGAAAAAATGAGAAATGACAAATTTACGGCACGTGACGTACGGTTTCATGATTTTAAATGTTTACGGTTTATGTTTTTCGTCATAAATATTGTTCCAATTTAAAAACGACAAGAGACCTTTTTAGTTGAATTTTTAATCTCGCCGGTAAAGAAGAAAGTCTTTTTTATTTTTCTTACAGTTTTTTTAATTATTGATTGAAAACGAAAAAAACCGTAGAAAGCCCGGAGAAAAACGTAGGATTGACGGAAAAGTTTACGATACCTATTACCTGTATCATTAGTTTCGATTTTTTATTTTATTTTTAGTGTAATCCAGTTTAAAACAACCGTACTAATTTAAATGTTTATTACTTGACATTTTCATAGAATATTTGATATTTGAAGTTTTTCCTAGACCTGCTGAAAATTTAATTTAAACTAGTGTTGAGCTATTTATAGGAATTTTATCTTCTAATTTTTATATGGTAGTATGTGCATAAAGTTGTTTGAACAAACAAAAATGCTTTAATATAAAAATCGAAATTCATTATAAGTTGTAGTGAACTACTTTATTAAGTAGTTTTTTTTTTAAATTTTAAATTTAAGATCAAATTTTGATGTTTATCCTAAATATTAACGCATTTATAGTATATTTTTCGATTTATACGTTGTAAAATTATTTGATATATAATTTTGTTTTTAAATAAAGATATTCCATTTTTGTTTGGGTTGGGAGATAGTAGTGGAGTATCATAAGTGTTGTGGCACGGCACACGGCGTTTGAATATAGTGATCCATTTCTTTCATCTACTTATATTTAAAAAAGGAATATCCTTTGAACGGGTTGACGGAAATCATTTTAACATAAAATTTATTTAAAATAGTCCTTTGTCAATAAATGGGACTTCTAATACAAGTCACCATTTTAAAATCAAAATTTGGTGGTCTGTTAGTATAAGGTTTATTTTTAAAAAAAATGTGCTGCTTTTCTTTAGAGGGACATCAATTAAGAGAAAAATGTATTTTTAATTTGCATCTCCTAATTCTTAAAAACAAACAACTTCTTACTTATTCCCATAAAATAATTTAAAATTCGCCATTTTGTAGAGTATATTATTCTAACAGTTTTAATATATCATATGATCATATTTGATCAATGATTTTTTTGTAAAAGCCGTTTATAGAGAAAAGGTGTAAAAAGGTGTAATTTTTTTATTTTAGTAATTTTGGAATGATTGTACAAATTATTTAGAAAAAATCTCTAAATAGATGAAAGAAAAAATAAATCAAATATAATATTATAGCTTTAGAAAAATCCATCGACACCCTGCTGTATATTAAAATTATTAGAAATTATTAAGTCCCTACATATTTGAATACCTAGTAGTATATAAAAAAAAAAAAAATGTAGTTTAAATCCTTACCGTTTAAAACAAAGACGATGCGATGCAGACAAGTACCGTAGGTAAAGAAAGCTAGTTACACGTGCTGAGAGGAACGCTTCCTGTGACTTCCAAAAATATACAAGCCATATGAAGAGCCTCACGGATAGGTAGTAGGTACGCGTATGCATGACACGGATGAAGCAACGGGTGTAGCGGGGCGGAGTGTACTCGATCAAATCACGTGAGGGGGGGGAACGATATTCCAGTTGGCCTTGGTGCGTTTCAAAACTTATATTATAATAGATATACATACGGCCCATATGTCCACACGCATTGTCAAATATTGTAGAATAATATATAGGTATAACGAGTATCTTTACATTATTCTACAGATGTGTATAAGTAATAGTACTTATACACAATAAAATACAAATACCTATAAAAACACAAAAAAAAAAAAATTATCCACTACCTATAATTAAATAGTTGGTATACGAGGTGTGGCTATTAAATAACGAGACTGGTAACGAAAAAGTGTTTTATTATAAAAGTTATTCTACATTCAAATGCTCCCCTTCAATATACTCCCCTCCCCTCGCCACATACCGTTTCATTTTTTTCTTTCATTGTTCGAGGCAGTGCTGGATGTCTGTTTTCGTAAGACCATTCAGGAGTTCCGCCGATTTTTGTTTCACCTCTTTCATCGACTCAAACCGGATTCCTTTTA